AAAAATGGATGTACTTTCATGGTTAAGTAATAATAGACTTAATTAGACATGGAAAAAGTGATTTAGACAAAAAGAATTAAAAAAAAAAATCATTAGTTAAATTTTCCCATTTTTACATAGAAAGTTTTTTAATTAAATAAAACCTGCATTTGTTGTAAAAAAAATTGTAAACGGTAACAAAATTAATTTTAAACTATTACGAAAATTCAAATTTTTATTAAGTGTGCATTTTTCTTATCTAACATGTTCTATATTAGACTTGAGAAATTTTAGTTCCCGGATAAATTGCACCTCTAACTTATTAATTTTTTTTTCTTTTCTAGTACAACATGTAGAAGTAGAGATTTGAACTCACAACCTCTTAACCGAAAATAGGTGTCTAAATTTTATTAAATTTTATTAAGGTAGACTGGTTTTGAAGGGTAGAGATTTGAGATTGGGAAATGTTTTCTATCAGATAGGGCTGAGTGGGTGCTCCCATAAAGTTAACTCTAAGAGTCCTTGATTTAGTTTTTACCATTTGCATAGAAAAGTATTAATATGCGGATGCGATTTAGGTGCCAATATAACATAGATGAGTTGGACCTCGAAGAATGACTCAGCAAGGAAATCAGGTACATTGTACGCGACTTTCCATTTATAGAAGTCGCGTACATTGTACGCAATTTCTATTTATATAAAGTTGAACGCGATTTTCATTTAAAATATTTATATATTTATTTATTTAGTCTTTTATTTATTTTACGAATAAAATATTTTATTTATTTTCTATTTTCTATATAGTTTTTATTTATTTTACCTATAAAATATAATTTATTTTATTATAAGTAAAAGCATACATTCGTCTAGAACATAGTTTTTCAATAAATCTTAGATCATACTAAATATTACAATAATTTATATAAAAAGAATCACATGTATGTAACGGCAACAAACAATTAAAAATAACAAGGAGTTAAAAAAAGAGAAAATGAAATTTAAAAAAAAAAGTAAAAAGAGAACATTAAATTAAAAAAAAGGTTAAAAGAGAAATTGAAGAAAAAAAAGTTAAAAAAACGTTGGAAGAGTAAAAATTGAAAATAAAAAGAAGTTAATAGCGAAAATGAAATAAAAAAAATGGTTAAAAGAGAAATTGGAATAGAAAAATGTAAAAAACGTGGAGTAGGAGTACAAATTGGAAAAAAAAAAGAATTAAAAGAAAAAACGAAATAGAAAAGATTAAAAGAAAAATTGATTGAAAAAAAAAAGTAAAAAGAGAAATGAAATAAATGAAATAGAAAATGTTAAGAGAAATTGAAAGAAAAAAAAACTTAAAAGAAAGTAAAAAGAGAAAGATTGAAAAAATTGAAGGTCAAACCGCCCTGATAGAGGGTTGATAATGATCTTTATGACCAATGTTGCACAATCATTGAATCAATTTACAAAATACTATATATACCATATATAACTCGCAGCAACTACATGCCCAACACGTGGCATCYTTAAAGCCATGTCACACCGAAGTCGTGGCAATGACTGCGACTTTCACAAAATCGCAGTCATTGGCTGCGATTTCGGCCTAAAATCGCAGTCATTAAATGCGATTTACCTGAAATCGCATCCAATGGCTGCGATTTCCCTACCCTAATTTTGAAAATACTTTCAAACCTACCTTATTTGTGTCATTTTTTTTTAAAAACCATTATTTTTTAAAAAAAAATCCAAAGATATACTAGTAATTTGTGTTATGGATACCATCTAATTAGAGATTGTTTCATGACAAAAATGTAAATTTTATATTTTTCAATCCCGTAATTATGATTTCTAAATAGATCTGATAACGAGTCATTCCTCACCCACTTGCCAACTCTAAAGAATCTAAAAGCACAGCAAACACCATTATAAATTCCCTTAAATTTTTTAATGTTAAATGCATACAAAGGATGAGGCAAGTTACAAATTTGAAGAATGTTAATGCGAATAAATTTTTCATTGACATTGCTGTAGAATGGAAGAATAGGAAGATTACAGTCAGCAAATATTAAGGTTTTTTCCTAGCCTACACTTCTTCAATATACTAAAAGTACTCAAAATTTCACACACAACGTGTTACTATTTACATTGCTATAGCTTGCAACTGGTCGAGCAAGCTCATAAAAGGATAAAGTTAAAGTCAAACTTACATTAAAAAGAGCATTTCTGAGATGATTTGAGCAAATTAAAACTAAGAGTTCAACGTCCCACTGCCACCACAAGTAGTACAAGAACGAGCAGAAGAGCACTTGGAACAGTAGCTCCACTTTTTAGGAAGCCTGAGACAATTTTGAGCCAGATATAATAAGTTGAAAGATCAAGCTTTCAAACAAGAGAATGAGAGAGAGAGAGAGAGACAAGAAAGTCATACGCCGCGGTGAATCGAGTCGCCATGTTTTTTGCAGCCAGCCTCGCCCTCTCTGCATTTTCATCTGACAGTTTCTTAAGAACGAACCCTTCACCTTTGCATTCAGAGCATAAGCCTGAACCACCACAATCTTCACATGTTCTCAAAGGAATCTGAAATTTACAGGATTACCAATGAATATGAGACAGTCAGAAGGTGGCTACTCTTCGAGTGGTTTAAGCATTTAAGTTTAATGATAGTTTAACATGTAATCAAAGCACTTGTTAAGCTTGTGCTAATTTTCAAGCCAAGAAGTGAAGGAAGTGTTAAGTATCATAATGTATCAGCTTAAGTATTTGGATTCAATGATAGTTTGATAAGAATCATATAAAGAATGTCACGAACATGGCGACGAGATGCAGGTTTTGAACAGTTTTATTATATGATAATAGCGCAAAAGTGACATTTTAGATCTAAAACCATACCTCCTCTGCCTCAGAAGCTTTGTTTCTTCTGGAAAGGAGGGTGGCTGCGGCACCTACAACTGTAGCAGCAATGGCAACAGAAGCTGCTGTTTCGGGTAGGGAAGAAGCTACAGTCAATGTTCTTTTTCCTCCTTGTAGTTTAACATCAGCTAAAAGAGGATTCGAATCCAAAGAGCAGAGACCAAGATTGATGGGCTTAGGACCCCTAATTACTTCACATGAAGAGCAATCTTGTCAGCAGAAAGTTTTGATGTCATATCAGTTAGGCACTGAAGAATAGTATATCAAAAATTCATGATGTAGATTCTTGAACGGCAAAGGGAAAATTGAACAATTCCTCTAATCCCCCAATCTAACATAGAAACTTCACTGACGATTTATGAGTATTTAGATGAAACTATAAAGAAGTTTACAACTCAACTTCCTTTTACTCTAGGTCGATGGGATTAGGATCCATTATCCTTTGATTTTGTATAGCCATATTTTTGAAGGAGAAAGCCGAAAGTATATGGCTAAACGAAATGAGATACATATATATTCTTACTTAGGCAGTACAGCACCATGGTGAGGATGCTCTTCTTGTAGAATTAAGTTGAGTTGGTAAACAGAATGAGAGGAAAGAGATAAGAAGGAAAGTTTTCTATGATCTGATCACGACATCTTGTCATGTGTAACGTGTCACAGCCATCTCAGGACACATTGGACAATGTAATCCACGAGTGCTGACACGTCCCTTCTGGGATACATTATTGTTGACATATTAGCATCCTGAACAAAAATTAAAGGGCGCTCTTTCTTGTTCACCTACAAAGTGCCCTTAAAGCATCCTAAATAAGATATGAACATCTTCAATAGTGTTGCACCACTTTATAAACTACATTTCCCAATTTTGATCATAATTTTATCAGGGTGGAGCAAAAGAAGGAGAGAGCAAAATTATGTATATAAAAAAAAGGTTATGATTTAATTTTTTCTCTCTAATTTGCCCCCTAAATCTTCGTAACAGAAAGATTATACATACAAAATGTTAGAATGTAAAAATTTGCACTCCCATATGAAAATTTCTGGCTCCGCCCAGTCTTCACCGTGATTAACTTGAACCAGAAGAACTTACTTGTAAGCCATTATAAGGACCTTGATTCAGCAATGTGGTACAACCCCATCTATTATCAATCATCACAACATTCAGAGCCCAAAAATGCTCGCCAACCAAAGATTCATCTTAATTAACTCATATTAAAGATGAGTTAGCAATTAAACAATCACATTAATCATTGGGGACCAACAAAATATAGATTCTCCAAGTTATCCAAAGCAACCAATTTGTCACCAAACATTGTTAAACAACAGTTACATGGGCATTGAAAATCCCAACACAGACAAATAAACCATCCAAAACCCTGTTGCAGAAAGATCAAAGAGACATAATGGGCAATCGCAAGAAAAGAAATGGTGGAAAGCTAGAACTCTAGGAACCCACGAGTACATCTACCTTGTAAGCAACAATTTTAATGGAAACCCCCAAATCGGCAACATGGTCAGATAAGTTTGTGATGGGAAACAGAGAAATGGAATGAAGTTGAGAGCAGAAAGAATTTAAGCGTACTCTTGGGGAAGGAGGTGGAGAAGGGGGTAGGCAGAGTCAGCTCCATTGAGAAACAACTTTCAAATTCCCTGCTGCCTGCTGGGTGCTCCACAATTCTTGGTTGCCTTATCTTTCTTCAGAAGAGGATTCAGCAGCAGCACCGCTTGCCCCCTGTAATCGCAGACACGTTTTAATTCTCAACCCTCCTCACTTATCATCGCTTATGGACTCATTCAAGGATTCAAACACAAGACCCTGCTCTAATATTAATTAAATAAAGATGAATAAAAGTTAATATATTTGATAAATTTAATTCATATATAGATATTTCAACCCTTAATTTTTTAAAATAATTAAGCATTTAGGTCATATCATAAACTATTAATGAATCATGGATCACGTATCCAAATTCAAACTAACATAAGCTATCTATAGGTTAGTGCATTAGCCCAATTTATAGGATTTTTCCCATTTCTGTAGTCTATTAATGAATTAATCCATTGAATAAGACTAAAATTTATACATTTCAATTATTTTTCCAACTTAATCGATCCATGAGTGGTTCTACGAATGAAAAGATGAACAATTTGGTGTTATAACAAAATTTAGACCTTACGAAAGATTCTAAAGAAAAAGAATAATCGATAATAGTGATTTAGAATCAAATGTTTTAGAGGAAAGTAAAGTTTCTCCATTCTTAAATTTTAGATCTTTTATAAAATAATTGGAGTGTTCAAAAAATCCGACAATCTGACAAACTCAATCCAAACTATAAGGGTTGGGTTGGGTTAGATGAAGCCTCGGGTCGGGTTGGGTTGTGATTTTCGAGTTAAACCTTTAAAAAATTAGGTCAACCCAATCCAACTCGAATTTATGCATATATGTGTATTTTTCTTAATTATATATATAATAATATATTTATCTTCAATATCAACCGTCTATTTAGTGTTAATGGGAAAATGACTCATATGACCATGATAAGTTTCCAATGTGCTCAAATAACCCACCCCTCAAAAATTGTTTTGAATGACCCAAATCTGCTTTTTCAGAATTGTCAGTGGAAGTAAATGTA